CTTTCAGACATGTTGGATTGTATTGGTCTGGTTTTGGGGGACAAAGAAAAGTGCTGCCTTTTGAAAGTGTCTTGCAGCCAATCAGAAAGCAAGGAGGCAGAAGCGTGCAGCAAACCTCTTTGCTGCCTGTCCACGTCGAAGTTACGCTCACGAGAATTGCCGTCTGAGTAGGGAACATCTGTGTGAGAGCTGTTTGTGCGTATTGTGTAGTATTTGGTGAGTTGCTGCACGTCGCACACCGGGACCAGAAGTGGTACGTCCATGATTTTTTATCACCACATGTGAAGCCTCTCATGCTTTCAAAGTTAGCAAACTTTTTTAATGCTGCTGCATAACTTAGGCCTTGAAAACAAATTGCAAATGGTTTAAAATGCTGAAACAAAGTTCTTAAGCTATGAAGTCTTTTAGCTGGTTTCTTTAGTGAATCAATGCCAGTTTAAAAAAAAACAACAGATTTGTTTTTGTGTTAGAAGGAGAAGTTAAATTCCCTGAATGTCACCAGAAAGACTAGCACCTTCACAGATGCTCTCATTTCCTCATTTTCCAAGCATTATTTTAAAATTCCCTCGTATTTAAATGCAACACTGCAGGTAGGCGACATATTTCCCATTTATTTCTGAGGACACTTCCATGTGTTATAACCATGGTTACAGCAATCACCTATGTGCTTTGGATTTTGACTTTTGTGTGAGCCAACACAACTCAGACCTGCTCATCACTTTGACTTTCTAGAAAGAAGCTGTCTGAGGCGACTTTTTCAGTTCCTCTAAAAGTCCCTCGAAGGGAAATTCTCAGATCCGGATGTGCAGAAGCAACGTTTTCCACCATTTTCCTTTTAAACACCTTGCTAAACAGCAGATCAGGAATGTTTAGCTTTCGTGGTTAAACTCATTGTGGACTTTTAGCTTTGTTGTTTTTTTATGTGGCTGAATTCTTCCTTGCAGCACTTAATGTTGGGAAGATCAAGGTCATGTGTTTGTGTCGGAGTTTGGGGTTTTATTGGTGGGTCCGTATGTGCTGGTGTTTGTCTGCAGTGATATGGACGGCCTTCGGGCCTGGATAAACAGCCACTTATAGCGGCCCGTAGCTGAGCAGCATATGCTGCAACAGCTGGGAATGTGATATGCAGTGTGTGGAGGCTGTGTGGGGACTTACGCGGCTCTTTTGGGGTAAATGTAGGTAGTGATTAGGTCTGAGTTCATTCATTTTAATCTTTAATTGTGTATTCTTCCATTTTCACGCCTCTGACCTGCTATAGTTTGACTCTCATGCACTTTCAAATCCTCAGTACACAACGCCTGCTTTCAGTAAAGGTTCTGAGGGGTTTGGCTAAGGACCTCCAAACATTGACATGTTTTGCCTGCTAATCTGGGCCCCATTCCATTTTACATTCATGAAAATACTGTTCTACCATCTGTGTTTCAAACCTTCAGCATTTCACCCATTATCTGGTCTGCAGTTAAGTCAAAAGATCAGTTCCTGAAGAAGCTGTCACAAGTTTGTGATGCTGTAAAAAAGATGATGTCTGATTGCACGTTGTGGTTTTAACCCTGCTTCAACACACCTGATTAATGCAACTTCCCCAGTGAGAGACAAATAAAGGTATTTTTATTTCAATCAGCAGGTGATTAACAGGTTTCTGCTGAGCCTGATGAGCTGCTGCACAGGTGGTTCAACCACTGAACTTAAGTGTGTTGGAGCAGAGAAACCACTGAAACGTGCTGGATACCGACCCCCCAGGCCTGGGATTGAGTAGCCCTGCTCTGAAACAAGGTTAACTCATTCTGATTGGTTCTAGCTCAGAAATGGCATCAGCAGATTCAAAACAACCAGCGTTAGTAAAATTAGAAGAGTTGTATGTACCGATTTCACTGCTTTAGAATTGGCGCTGCCAAACTCCCAACACCGGAAAACATGGCAGAATTCCTTCCCAACCACGTGATTCAAGGGACTTTGTTGTCTCACAGTGCGCCGTAAAAACAACCCTTTTTATTAGGGATGTTCCGATCACATCTTTTTGCTCCCGATCCGTTTCCAAGTTGTTTGATTTAGAGTTTCTGCCGACACCGAGTTCCGATCCGAATCTTCAGCAAAGCTATAAAGTAAGAAAAAAAAGGGAAAACACATCCCAGTTTTATTTTTTCTATTTAAGTGTTTCTTTCTGTATTCATGCAATTTCCTTCATTTATTTGCCAAAAGACATCACTTGTTAGGAAGTACGTTGATTAAAAAACGAGTTAATATTTAGAAGTAGTGAGTTCAGTTCCTCATATTTCAAATGAACATCCTTATTATGAGACTGTGATGCGAGTTCCTGTGGGGGCACACAGCGCCACAATCAGGAGGCTAACTTTTATCTGCACAACACCGGTAGGTATCAGCACCACAAACATCATATACATAGACCCAACGTGGACTGAGCTGCCATCTTGGATGGGTCTCCAATCGCCCCAATGATAAATAATAAATGACCCGCACTTGTATAGAGCCTCTCAGAGTAAGGACTCCAAAGCGCTTTACACTACAGTGTATCATTCATCCATTCACACACACACATTCACACACTGATGGTGATGAGCTACGATGTAGCCACAGCTGCCCTGGGGCGCACTGACAGAGGCGAGGCGCGATGCAATTTGCTGGGTTCCTTATATAGGAAACTTTATTTCTGATTGGCTTAATGATCTCACCTGTATTGGAATGTTTATTATGTGAAGTACCTTGAGACGACAGTTGTCGTGATTTGGCGCTATATATAAAAAAATTAAAATTGAACGTCACATTTTACATCACGCAGCTTCTCTCGTCCTCTGAGTGGGTTCAGTTATATGATACTTTAGCAGAATTAAACTTTTAATGTTTATGTGGATGCTTTTTGGCACTGATTCATGACATCACTCACTGCCAAAGCAGTCGCAGTATACTGACATCAATGCAAAGTCCTGAGAGGGCTGTGTTTGAACGGAGACGCAACAGCTGAGAGGACCGAACCTCTTGTCTCCCGGTGAATTTTTCCCGTTCCAGACTTTACCCTAAAGTTCCAGTAATGGGAACAGGGCTACAGTATTGTATCCAGATGTAGTTTATATGATGTATTTTTTGTGTTTTGCAAGTTTGTTTAAATCGTTTTTCTTATCAGATAATTTTTTTTAAGAAACAATTACTTTTCTTGTGTGAATCTCTTCAGTAGAAGACTATGAAATGTTGGCTCTGTTAGTCATCCCCTCATTCCTGACTTGTAATATTCCGTGGGAACTATAAACGTGATGATCTTCTATTCGGAGTGTTTTCTGGATAACAGTGCAGTGGACTGTGTCTAAAAGGGTCAGGTGGATTCCTGCCTATTCGGCATGATGGATGACTTTAATCTCACTGATTAAAGGATCCTACCTACTCCACCCAGCCCTCCATCCATAACACTTCAGTTCACATTCAACCCATTTAAGCAGAATTTAGAAGGTGCTCCTGCCAGCTCCTTGTGTCAAGCACACAACAGCTTGTCTTCATCCAGCTTCATCAGATTATTATGTTTATCAATGCGTTTCTTATTGTGAAGGCATGATTCTGGTACCATTGTGCGTTTGTTGTCAGTTCAGTCCAGCAACGGTAACTCAGACCAAACCCTGTCCATCTGAGCATTTTCAAAGACTTCCTAGCTTTTGCAGCTTTTAGAAACACTAAAAATAAGCTACGGGGTATTTATAGCTCTCTACCATTTGCTGTCAAGTGTTAAGGTTTTAATCACTTTTGCGTCACTCTGCAGTTCCACACCGTGCAAACCAACACAAATCTCCCGGAAAAGGATGGACCAAATGGGGTCAAATTAATAGGGAGATATGAGGAAGGAAATGAATTCCTAATCTTGTTTGGTTGTGTTCCAAATAACTTATCACTGGCCATTATCATGTCTCTAAAATCCCAAAGAGGAAGCAATTTGAATGGATAATTCCAGCCAACTCATTTCCTGTGCTGGGATATTTCCTTTTTCAGACAGAACGGAATAGGCCCTTTGGTTTTGACCCACTCTGGTGCGCTGCTGGTTTTCACTCAGTGAAAAGTTGTCAAAGCAAAACTGTGTGTGTGGCAGGAAGCTCACATCTGGAGGAAGGCCTATGATGAGTAAAATATGATAAAGAAAGGTTAACCCTAACCCTAACCCTTTCAGGCCAGCCCAGTGAAATGGAGAGACGAACACACACGCCGTGAAGGTCCAGTAAAATTACCCAGATGTTCCTATAGTAGAAACTGATCTGTAGTCCATCTCTCACTCCATCCTACCATTACTCTTCAACACGACACAAGACACTTGAACTGCTTGAGCCAACGAGTCCCTCCCTGCCCCAAAGGGAGCATTCCACCTTTTTCTCGGAGAGTTGGATCTGATATGGTCTCCCATGGCAAACCGGCCTCAGGGGAGGGGTCAGCCTCAGAATAATGGTGAAGACACACAACTCCCAAAAGATTGTGGCTCCCTGATAGAACGCAGGAAGCCACCTCCAGATGGACACCCTTAGCGACAGGGACATGCACAAAACAAATCAAGTTTTAGTTTGACGTTTTTAAAGGGTTCCCATTCTCAGATAAACTCAATGATGTTGGACAATGAATTTTCTTGTGCTTCTGTCTGCTAAATAAAAAGTATAACACAGGTTTGTGGAGATGATTAGATTGGTTTCATTCTATAAACGTTCCCAACTGGAAATTGTTTATTTCTGTAAGAAACCAAAACAGAAGCTTACTAAATACACACCAACGGCAGTGCTGCGTTAAATCTACACAAGCATGTATTCCATTCTCTCTCTCTCTCTTTAGAATGAAATACTGTTTTATATAGTAAAGAGATTTGAAATGAACATTTTACACATCAATGACTGTTTTTAAAAGTAGAATGAATCTTATCTTTACATTCATGTTGTAGAAACACTTCAAACAATGAGCATGGACCTCTAAAGTCTTTTGTTTTTTCACAACTCAAAGCGTTTCTGTTCTTTGTGCTGCAGGGAAAAGTGGGAGAGGAACTCCTGAGGTATTGGGTTCCCCGAATCCATCATTTTGGACGAGTTGGGACCTTGGAAGAGCACCAGCAGCGTCTGTGTTAGCCAGCCGTAACTGACATTGAGTGCATTGTTTGCTGCAGGAAGCACCCGGGTGTGGCCTAAAGGTAAATTCCTGAGATCAAGATGCTGTTTGAAACACAAGCAGCCTTTGTGCCCCTGCTGCTGTCTTCCACTGAATCCCTCACCCACATCAAGCCTCGAGAATCAAACTACCTCCTCTCACTCATGTGTCAACATGTGGGCTATCATTTTACTCACACCCTCACATGCTCTCCCCTTTCTCTCTCTCTCTCTCTCTCTCTCGCTTACACACACACGTACACACACAAACACACATGTCATTCTGAAGATCAGGTCAGGGAAGATATCTGAGCTACGTAAGCTCTTGTGAAGCAAAGCTGAAAATGTGAATGGACTCAAACCGTTTAATTTTACTGACCTTCCTTTAATGAAAACAGAAGTAAAAATTGTAAAATCTCGAATTTCGAGCATCATTTAAATTTTTGACTTCCCAGGAAAAGATGATAGTAAAACACGCTTAATTTTAAGACACAAAAATATTGTTGCATTTGGTCATTTTTAGCAAAAGTCTATAAATATGAATTGACTTTTTTTATAAAGCCCCTTTAATGACCTCATCGGACGCCTAAGGTGCTGAGTCAGAAGCACGGTATAGGTATGAAATAGTTCAACGTAAAGTTCCTTTAAAATCAGTCAGAGTTGACAATAAAAGGGTAATTTCCCTTTCAATCAATCAATTTCCCTCTGGGATTAATAAAGTATTTTTGAATTGAATTTGAATTGAATTGAATTGAAATAAAATGCAAACATTAACAGAACAACTGTGATATTACAGACAGAGGCCTCTCATTCCAAAGTCTTGGAGCCATCACAGAGAAGGTCCGATCCTCCGTGACTTTGAACAGGGAATCACCAACAGCTCTCTATCAGCCGAGCAACGAACCCGTGATGGAGCGTGCCTCTGCAGGAAGCCAGTAAGGTATGGTGGTGCAGCTTCCTGAAGAGCTTTGTACATAAATGTCAACAACTTGAGTTTGGTCCTGAAGCGCACCGGGAGCCAGTGTAAAGATGCCAGAATGGGGGCGATGTGCTCCCCGTCTAGTGTCTGGTACCTGTCAAGAACCTGGTTTAAGATCTAGTGTTTAGATGAAATATGCCATCCAAGCTCTTCTTCATATGTCTTGCAGAGGAAACTTACTTCAGACATTACTCTTAAGCTTTTGAACAGGTGAGGTTTGGAAAATGGATCAAATGGTCAGTCGAGAGCTTTTCTCTGTGGCTTTGCATCCCTCTCCTCCACATCAACGCAGATTACCTGGAAATCTCCCAAAAACTTCTCCACTTGAAGTGGGACCTCTCTCCTAACCCAGAGTTCTTGCTGTGTTTGTCTTCTAATTCCATTTTTGGTTCTTTTTGAACACAGAAAGGTTTTTCTTTACCTTGCTGACGTTTTGTTTGCGGCTGCAAACATCTTCAGAGCTGACGCTGACGGTGGCGTCGCTTCCTACTCCGTTTATGCGCGGGCAGCAGAGGACGTTGTCGCCCTCTGCTGCCCGCTCTCTCCTCTCCGACGATGCAGTCCCATGCACGATCCAACGAGTAAACTCCATCGTCTCTGTTCATGGTCCCACATCCACGTCTCCTTATCTCGATAGCTTCTTTTATCCATCTTTTGTATTTCTGCTGTTCGGTGTTTATGATCCGTGTGTTGTCCCAGTCCATTATATGGTTTTCTCTTGTGCAATGATCTGTTACGGCTGACTTCTTTATTGTGCTTTCTGCTTCTTCTTTTGCTGCTCTTGTGTGTTTTCGACTTGTTTCTTTCTCGCACTCCTTTCTATGTTCTATTGTTCGTGTGTTGAGTTGGCGTCCGGGTTCTGTTACGTATGTTTTATTGCAGAGTTTGCATGGGATTTCGTAAACGACTCCACATTTAAGTCCAGCTGGTATTTTGTCTTTTGGGTGCACTAGTCTGTTTCTAACTGTTGTGTATGGTTTTGTTGGTGTGTTTATGTTGTGTTTTTTCATTGTTGCTCTTATTTTTTCTGTTATGCCTCTGATGTATGGTAGGGTCATCACTGGTTTTGGTTCTTGTCTTTCTGTTGTTGTTTGTTGTTTATTTGTTTATTGCCCATGTTGGGTATCCGCAGGTCTTTAAAGCGTGTTGTGTGTGTTTGTCCTCTTGTTTACGGTCTCTTTCTTCTGTTATCAGATGAGATCCTTCTGTGGCTAAACTCGATATCTTTCCTATTTTTTTTAGCTATGACTAGCTGCAAAGGGAACACTAGCAAATAAAATGTTTTGAGTAATTGATATCAAGCCTTAAAATTCACCCAGCCACATTTAAAGGAACCCAATTGTATGTTAACATTATGAATACTGCCTTTACCCTGCAGATATATTTACCAGTTAAAATGTTTAAATCACCTCAGAGAAAACATTTGTTGTAAAAATTCCTTAAAGTGGATCAAATACTCACCTTTTGCATCCTTTTGTGCCACCGAGTGGGTCCCTAATGCCTCTATGAGAAAAAAAAAACATCCGTCCATTTCCTGTCAGTTTCTAGATTTAGGATCTATATGCATAAATCAAGTCGTTTCAAAAAGTTCCCGTTTAAGATGTCACAAATGAGGAAAAGTAGAATAGAACCACCTCTGACATGCAAGAGAGAGCTGCTGTTAAAGAAGCAGCAGCTCTACTCTGAGCCCCTCCTGGATATTGGAGTTTCTCAGCTGAAAGCAGCCTGAGCGAGTATAAGTGGGTGTGGCCAACTACAGCTAGTTTTCTGAAACGGCTCATTCTGGAAGGTACTGAAACTGTCTAGAATAAAACAGCTGAACTCGCCTAATGAGGGAAGAGTTTTGTGAAAAGAAATAAAGTCATAATTTGTCTCCTGTAATGTTTACGTGTGCTTGTTTACCGCAGCACACATATTCATTACAGTGTTAAATGTGGAAATAAAAGCCAGTTCACAAGCGTGGAACATTAAAATAAATGAACATTTACCCCCCCAAAAAAGAAGAAACGCACAATGAGAAGATTGACCTGGGTTGAGGTTTATATTATGATTAATGTGTACACAACTGCAAACAAAGCTGTCAGTGATTTGATTCAGTTGAACAGATTAACATTTGACAGTCTTCCCTCTGGTGGGATAAAGGGTCTGAAGTTAGTTGTAATGACTGATTATGGTGGGCGATGCTCCACGATTGCCCTTTTATACCTCAGTTAATTACCACTGAACTGCTCTTCTGAGGAGTTGATAGGATGTGGATGAATACATCAGTGCCCATCATCGGCTCCATGGGCAGAAAGCTCCGGTATCAATTTATTATTGAACAGTCATGCAAATAGAGTCATTATTGGTCACATAAACGGGATATGATGGGATGAAAAATGGGATTTTAGAATGACTGAGTATTTGAAACACAAATTATTTACCATGAATTCACTTTAACCTCTCTTCTGTTCCTTAAAACTGAGCTCATCTAGTAAAGGTGCTCTACTCCACTAGACAGTTCTCTTTTACATGCCGGACGCTAGTTTCAGATGTGAGCTGTCTCTCTGCGCTGTCGTCCTCCACAGAAACTCACAATACAAGACCAGGAGGACCAAACATTTAGGAGACGTTAAATAAGCCCATTTTAGGTCATTTTCCCCAAACTTCTGTAGCATGGAGACGGTGTTTCCGTTTAACCGGGCCGACCAGAAAGGCGCGTTGCTGTTAGCCAATCAGAGGTAAGATGTCAGAAGATCAGGAACACCAAGTCCTGCCATCTTCTGCTCACTTCTCCTCTGACTAACTTAGTTATGGCTGCTTATACTGAGCCAGGATCCTCTGGAGGTTTCTTCCTGCTAAAAGGGAGTTTTCCTCTCCACTATCGCTAACTGCTTGCTTAGTATGAGGATTGCTGTAATTTGCCAGGTTCCTTATATAGGAAGCTTTTTACTGGTTGGCTTAATGACCGGGGTCTCATTTATCAAACATGGAGGACACACAGCTGCACGCTGTCTCCGCTTCATAAATCAGAGACTAACGAGAAAGTTTCTCAGCTGCTTTTTAGTCACATCCCGCCCTCACCACGCCCACTTACTGCCATAAATGGTCAATGCAAAGTGCCTTGTGGACCTCATGCATACACATAAGCCGGCTGTTGCAGCATTTCGATCATGATCAGATCAAGGAAGCACTATTTCACAAGCAGAAGTTGAGGTACCTGTGGGTGAGGTGGAGAAATGAAAGGAAGTGCTTTTGCTAAACAAATAAGAGAAAATCCACGGAGTGGCACAGCGTTGCTGAAGCCGTCAATGCTGACTTCTTCAGAGAGATCTGTGGCGGATATAAAAAATGATCCAATCGGGATTCGATCCCCAGACTCCCGGGTAAAAGTTAAGCGCGCTAACCAGTCACCCAAACGGAGATCTCCCCTGTACAAGTAGCCAGGTCACATGATCAATCAGGTCACAGTGACAGGACACACACTGTCACAGATGCATGATGTTCTGTCTCAATCTGTCCCCCTGCTGATATTCTGCATTCTGTATTCTGAGCTTCAGGCTGTGTGTGTGTGTGTGTGTGTGTGTGGGGGGGGGGGGGGGGTACCAGTGATAATGCTGCAGGATTTCATAACTTTTATCTTCTCAGCAGCAGCACTGCAGGTGCTCTCCATGTCCAGCATGTGTGTAAGCCAGGTCCTTAGTCAACTTAAAGTTACGCACATTTTTTCGCTAAGTTTTCTTTCATAAATCCCAAAGTTTAAGTGGAAAGTTGCTTACGCAGTTTTCCGACCTCGTTTTGTGCGTAAGCTAGCTTGATGAATGAGGCCCCTGACCTGTACTGGAACGTTGACTGTGTGAAGTGCGTTGAGACGACTTGTCGTGACTTGGTGCTTTATAAACAAACTTGAATTGAATTGAAGCAGGAGCGCCAGAGCTTTTTTACCCACAGAGATGGACTCATGAGGCATGTATTTGAACTAGAGACCACTCCACACGTGTTAAAAACAAGTGAACTTAGTCGTTAGATGTGCACTCTAAACAAGTCATTTTGAATAGTAGATATTAATTGGGACACAACTTGTCAGTTTAGATGAATTTAGTGGTTTTGTCACTATTGGAAAAAGTGAATTAAAAATAAAAGTGACTGGAGCCAAAGTTGGTAATATCAATAATAATCACAAATTCATTGCAAACAATAGTTTCTGAGGAATGAGACTGTTTTAAATCTGATGCTTGTACATTAGTATATGAGTACAGTCCGTTGGCTTTAATTGTTTAATCTTATTTTTAGCATCATAGGTTTCAGAATAATGTCTCCACATAATTAGGAGCTGCGTTCCCACCACTCCATCGACTCTCAGGCGCATTCATCTCTTCTTTCTCAAGACTTTGTCCTCCTCCCACCCCGAACTCCCGCCCAGTGTTGCGTAGAACCGCAACAAGTTGCCAACCAATGAGACGCACTTCACTGATGTGTGGCGAGGGGACTGAAGGAAGGAAAGACAAAACGCGCAGAGGGTCCAGACTAGAGGACCACTCTGCGATCCACAAGAGTTGTTGTTTCCACCCCCACGCACTATTGTTTGCACAAGTACAGTTTAATGATTCTGCGCACTCCAGCGGTACTTTGGAGAGGAGATCCGCAACAGGGACCCGCTGATCTGGAGACAAGCAGCAGCAGAAACCCCTCTGCTTTCTTTTGGAGAACCTTTGGAGTGTTTCCTCCTGGCCGAGTTTCTGCTTGAGTCCACCGCCTCTAGTCATGTACGGATAGTGGACGGGCCGCTCAGGAATCCGGCTCAGATGGATCGGCTCTGACGGGGTTTATGGAGCCGGGATTACTCAGCGCTGTGCCAGCCAGTTGAACGCGCCCACACACGGGCCCATCACACACCATCTGCCTCGGAATAACTCGCCAGCTTGGACACAACCTATGGAAGCGGGGCGCAACTTTTACTTATGACACTGCTCTAAATTGCGCCGTTTCTCGCAGCCGCAGCGATGGCGAACTCTCGCGCTTTGCAGACCGTCTGCAGATCAGTTTGGCCTCTGGGCTGCGCGCTTCTGATCTTCGGCTACTTGTGCGTGGCTACCCCGCCTCACGGTCGGCGGCTGGTCTGCTGGCAAGCCATCATGATCTGTCACCAGGAACCCAGCTGCAATTACGCGTACGAGCACTACAGCCGCGCGTGTGGCTCGGTTCTGAGCGGACAGAGAAGAAAGTGCCCGAGCCACTGCATCTCCTCTCTGGTCCAGCTGAACCTGACCAAAAGCGGCCCGGCTCTGGAGGACTGCAGCTGCGGCCACGACTCGCTGTGCCAGAGCACCAAACGGGCCATCGAGCCGTGCCTGCCCAGGACTACCAGCACGGGCTGCACGGAAGCCCGGCTCCAGTGCGAGCGGGACCGGGAGTGCAGCTCCGCCATGCAAGACTATTTGCACCACTGCGGGAAACTTTTCAGCGGGGCGACGTGCAGCAACGCCTGCAGGAATGTGATCGCGAAGATGCGTAAACACCCCAAAGGCCAGAAGCTGGATAGCTGCGTGTGTGACGGGCCCGAGAGGAACATTTGTGAGTTTGTCAAGAGTAGCATGAGAGCGCTGTGCTTCGATGACCCGGACCCGGACTATGAACAGAGCGGTTCTGATGACGGTTCCGATGAGGAGAGGGACGACTGGGAGAAGGGCGGTCCGGAGGAGCTGGGCAACGGAGCCTCTATCACCGCAGCCGCCTGCGCTCGGACCCTCCTGGCATCCATCTTGGCTCTACTAGCCCTCTTTTAATCCCTGCCTTCTTAAATCTGCCCCCTCCACTGATGTCCGAATCAAAGGCAATCTAAACTTTTGTCACTCAGTGACCTGATGCCATTGTGCGCCTCGAGGACTAAAGGAAAAGTGTGTTTAGCGCATTCGGGCCTTAATGAAACCATTTTTCCTTAAACAAAAGAAGACAAAAGACAATAAATCAGGAGGAAATTTCTATGCAAATAAAACCAGAACGATGTAAATGATCTTATCAAACCCCCACAGCTCTGCAGGCGTGATGCTTATGAGAAAAACTAAATTATTTCTCACACACTTGGTTTAATCAACATAATTAGCTGTGCACTGCCAGTTTTGTGAAATTCTTTAAAAGTATTTTTGTAAAATGAACAGTTTGCATCTGATTTACAAGTATTTGTAAATAGGAGTTAAAGTGAAACAGTAATTTATTACATGGCTCCTTGTTGCATCCAGTATTGCCATCATGTAAATAAAAGATGGGAATTCCAGCTTTAAAGGGAACTTATTCCGACAGAAGTCACGTGTACATTCACTGTAAATATATGTCTATATGTGTTTTTTCATCAGAGAATTCTCTATGTTTTAGGCTATGAGATGATTTATTCACGATGTAAATCTAGATTAAAATGTCTAAATCCACTGTAAACGGCCTCGATGATACCCATTTTACAGGAGGCATAAAAAGGAAACTTGAAGGTGAAATCTGTGACTCGTTTGTTGATTTGTGCCGCATTACGTTGCTGACGGTGTCAGATCCAAATCAGAGTTGTCAAATTAATTATATTTAGGACACTTTTTTGTTGCTGGGCTTCAGTAAAGAAAAGCAAAACTCTCATTTGCTTCAATAAGCAGGATAATAAATCTTGACTGGTTGTTATAAGCTCTGGCGCGACAGAGTGAGGGGAGATGTGTGATGGTGGAAAATCCAGATTTAATTTCATCTCTGAGTTGCATCAGTGTGGAAGCTGGAGTGGAGAACAGGGTTTTTATTTTCCAAATGCTCGACGGTCGCTTTGTGAATCATGTTTAAAGGTAAAAGAAGCAGCTTTATATGCATTGACGACTGTTGAGTTTACTCAGCTAGTTAACTGTGTTTAAATAAAAATAAAACTAAACAGCCGTGTGAAACATGCATGTTTTTTCTTTTACTTTTAAGGATTTTTCTAAATTAAACACTTCAGATTCATTTTTTACACCACACTGATTTTTCTACTCCTTTTCAAGCCCGTTTAAAGGGTTTCTCCTGCTGACGGATGTTCCAGTGACCTGTTATGTCTTGATTTAGCTTCCTTTTGTCAAAAGCAACTGTCATCATAAATCAACAAAACACCCTTGCCCCCTTCCTCCAGCCCTCCAGCAACAACCCTCTGCTCTGCAGCAAAGGTCTGGGACTCCACCAGCTGCAGGAACCGTATCTAAACGTGTTTTTTAAATGAAAAAACAGATTAAATCTAATCAAACGGTTGAATATTTACAAATAAAATATTAAATTGACACCTTGTTGCATCAGATCTTATAAATAGTTGTTTTTTATATTTAAAACATGAATTCCTAAATCTGTGCAGTGCTGCTTTCTAACCTTTAGGAGTGTGTGTGCCCTGTTTGCAGTAAGAAATGAAAAGATGAAATTTTCTATCCAAATAACTTCCAACTGGTTTCACTAAACCTATTTGCACGAATGTGAAGAGTGTTACACGTTTTCTTGTGACATAACATAAAACAATGCATATTACTCTTTACATTTAAGCACAAGTTTAGTGGAACCAGCCGACGTAACCTGGTTAAGTAAAGTCAACGTGTTATTTCTTAGAGTGAACCTCAGAACATCGCTGTTTTTAGGTCAGGTGCAGCGGTTTTACATCCATGAGGTGCAGCAAAATGCTTTATTAGCAGGGGGACGAGGGCCCTCAGCTCAGCTGATGGCGGAGAAGTCGAGTGGCGTCTTTGTCATGGAAATGTTAAGCACATAATAGTTGAGATGCACAATAGGGAGGCACTTCATTCTTTCAGGCAGGCTTGACACCTCCGGAGAACCGAGCGGCAGGGAAGCATGTGGGAACGATCTGCTGCTGCCCAGGTCTCAAGCCGAAGCAAACGGGACAGAGGAGGAGGGGCAGGATGTTTGGTCCTGGATGTGCATGCTGTCCAGAGTAAACAATAACTAGTACTGCAAAATGTAAACAAAACTTCCAAATGAAGCTTTTTTATTTGTTTATTTTTGCTACTGAATTGACAAATAAAGCAAGTAAAACTAAAACTCTGCTGTGATTATGATGACTTCAGAGACTCTGGCTTCTAAATGAAATACCTTGTCGGTTTCCTGCAGCGGCTGAAATGCGATCCACCGTGCACGAAGCTTTCCAGGCAGGAGAACAGCTCCGCAGCCCCAGCCTGTCTATCCCTCCTCCTCCTGCTCGTCTTTCTCTTGGCTCCTCGCACTTGTTCAGGCAGTTTCAGCACTAAGGGAAAGCACAGCGTGTGTTGATTAGGCTGTAATAATGCACGATGTGTGAACGGATGAATGAAGCGCAAAAATTCTCACAAAACTTGTGAAAATTGAATCGATTAAAGAGATTTTATAGTTTTAAATTTTCATGGGAAAACTGTCAAATCTTGGGCTTGAAAGAAAAATCTCTGTTTATAAAAAGTGTTTGTGGGTTATCGCTGCTGTTTGTCAGCATGCGGCCCTCTAGGAGGGGGGGCAGGGGGGGGGGGGTGATTTACAAACTGTGGCTGTTTGTGTTCCAGCTCTTTGAGCGTGTGTAAGGTAATCTCTGCCATCAGCTGTGCTCCACTGAGCTCGGTTCACTTCCAGAGCTGTTTTGTTGGCCTGCTAAACAAAACGGCTCACACTTCACCCAACGCAGATCTCTTCACCCCTTCACCCCTTCACCCCGAGCTTATCACAGCACAATGTTTACAGAGGTGCCGCTTTCCCGAGCAGCGACTCGCTAAAACGCTCCAGACAAGATCTGTAGTCTCTGTTTTATTCTCACAATAACAAGTATACTGATGGCGTCCCACCCATCTCCACCCAAACTACACACCACACATCAAATCTGCAAGTTTCATATTTTTCCCCACTTTTTAAGCAATTTATAAAATATTTGACCTTAGCTCTACTTTTTTCTTGCAGTGTTTCCTGTTAAGTTTTGGCAGAGTTGGCACTTTGTGTGTGTGTGTGTGTGTGTGTGTGTGTGTGTGTGTGTGCTGTACATTCTTTAGTGAAAGGTAAATGGAAACCGTTATACAGCCTGAAGCTTAAAGTTCTGCTTGAAATCTCCATCAGAGACAGCTCGAGGGCTTGGCTGCATGAACATTTATTTGAAATGAAACATATTAGGACTTTTTCTTATGAAGTCATGATAGTCCTATGGTTCATATAAACCTTGTTTATGAAGTTGTCTGCACTAAATCCCTTGTGCCGAATTAATTTAGGCAGTTGGATTCTTGACAGTTTTAAGTACCTTCCAGAATGAGCGGTTTCAGAGCTATGTCACTTTAAAGAGATAAGGTGTAGCTTTTACCATTAACTTCTGGAAATAGCCTTCAAAGTGTGCTAATGAAATGATGCCCAGTTGAAAAATATCGGCGGTTTCATAAAATAAAACCGTAAAAATCAGGTCCAAAATACTTGGGAGCGGGTCTAAGTCTCTCGGCGACGCCATGTTAGATGCCAAGTTTCCTTCTACGGGAGCCCATGAGGACAACATGCATTCACTGATTTGTAACAAACAGTTGTTGTTTTAAACGTTTACCTCTTGGCTTGTTGCCAGTGATGAATGGTGCGCTTGTTATTTAGCTAACGTTTGCACTCCCCAGGGCTTTTTGACCCTGATGGGTTGAGTTGGTAAAGTCTTACTCCAACACAAAAATACTGCTTGCTTGAAATGATGTAGGTGTCTACTGCCCCCATCGCCAGGAAAAATACACACTGTCCCTTTAAGAAAACAAGCTGCAGCTGGCCACGCCAACCCCTCCCTCGCTTGGGTTGCTGTAAGCTGAGAAGCTCCAGTGTGCGGGAGGGGCTCAGAGTAGAGCCTCTGCTTGTCATGTGCCAGGGTGAGTGCTCCTCTCCTTTTTATTCCATCTTTGAGCTGCTGTGTTTCAGGAGAGGGAGGCTCCAGCTGCAGCTCATTAACAGTCAGCGGGTCCAAGGAGAACACATCTCGACGCCGGATGATCAACTACAGCTTGGTCGTTCCAGCCCTTTGCGTCTCCAGGTTAACTCTAGTGGTTTTTGAACCCTTGTGGATATACCTGTGCTTACCTGTTCCCAGGATTTTTGGGTCGGTTGTGGACCTTACCTTGACTCCTCAGGATCTCCTTGGACTTCTGAAGCTTCTGGAGCTTCTCTGGTTTTCCTGTGGCTCCTCTGATTGACTACTTGGACATTTCCACGATCCCGCTGGATTACTCGCCTGTGCCCCACAAATCTCCTGGACGCGGCATTCACCGTTCTCCTCTCCCCCCTGCCGGCCCGCTCTCCTGGACACCCCCTCTTGGATTCACCCCGGCACTCCACCTACCCTCCCCAATTCCTCAGCCCCCAGCTTCCCGTAAGTCTCAGCACCTTCCTAGTTTAGCCTTACCTCCCTGGACTCACCTGTTCCTCTGCTCTCCCCCCCTCACACGCTGCGGTTCTGTTGCAGTCCCCACTGGACCTTATCCAGTGCGCCCGCAGTTCCCGATTTTTTTAATGGAATTCTTTAATTTTTCTAATTGACTCGTGAGCGGTGAATTCTGCATGTCTTGGGTCAAACTCGTCCCCAAAGCCGTGTCACTGCTCCTCCTGCTCTCTCTTGACTGTGACAAGTGTTTCTATTCTGATTTTGCCGTTTGTGACATCACAAACAGAAACTTTTTAAAACAGCTTGCTTTCGGCACATTATTCCTAAAACCAAACACGGACAGAAAACCAACGGACACTTTTTCCTTATTTGGAGTTCTCATAGAGACACTAGAGACCCACACGACAGCACAAAAGGTGAGTTTTGTGTATGTCTCCTTTACATAGTGCTCCAAATGCATTATGTGATCTGAGCGTACTTCTCACATGAGTTTGTTTTGGCCGTGACGCTGCGGGGATAGTGATGTAGAAATGTTCGGACGGTTGGAATGGCTGAGATGCAGGAGGAGGCACTGAGATGGAAAGTTCACTGATGGGATTTGGAAATAATCCCCTGAAGTTACCGGAGTTTTGGATGGAACGGGCTCCACCCCGACTCCCCTCTGAGCCCTTGCCATCGTTCTGGCATCAAAAGCTTTGCAGTTAAAATGCTGCTTAAAAAGTTTTTGTGTTCATGCATGTAAGATTTTTTCACTTTTTACTCCGTGTTCTGTGAATGCTTCCCAAACTCGTTTGCAGACGACGCCGGTGCCACGACCAAGCGAAGGCCATCGATTCTGGATCTCGTTCCTTCGCTGGGCTGCTGATGCCAGCGGACCTTGTCGTTTTTTCTCCCCGCCATTTCAGCTGCCACTTTGATTTCATCATGTGGGACCTCTGCTGAGTTCACAACCCTTTGAAAAGAGAAAAGGCCTGTAATCCAGTTACTCAGGCTGCAGCAAGACTTCTCAGGTCCTGAGAGAAACGCTGCAGCACTAATCCCGCTGTCACCAGGAAAACGCTTTGCTACCTGACTGTCTGTGGCAGCCAGTTGATTTATTCGCTGTTTGAATAGTTGCTGTGGAGTGTCTCATGCGGGGGTTACCACGGGTGCTGTTGGTGAAGCTGGACTGCTGGTGCAGCGGGTCGTGTTGGAAAAATCAAGGAGACACTGTGGAAAAGGAAAAAGTAGCATGGCAGCAGAAGAATATTAAATATGGTTTCCTCGAAACAATTTCTTCAGTTTAAAGTTTTATTTTTGTTCATTTGTTTTTTATATATCGATGTTTTAAAGAGCAACATGTAGCTCACTCTTGTTGTTTTGTTTCATTACATGAATTTGATGAGACGAGCAGTTGGAGTCCAATTCAGTTCAGTTCAAGTTTATTTATAAACGAGGCGACGGTGGCACAGGAGTTAAGAGCTCGCCCCATAATCAGAAGGTTGCTGGTTCGAGCCCCGCTCAGTCTGTCGCTGTCGTTGTGTCCTTGGGCAAGGCACTTAACCCACCTTGCCTGCT